ATTTTCACTTTGGAAAAGATAGTGAAGCAGGGAATTGGATAAAATTTTGAACTTGTGACTTTCTTGTCATGTTGTGTACGATATTATGTCAAATGACCAGCTCATCTACAAGCATAGATTGCTAGTTGTATGGTCAGAGCTAGTCCTAAGACTGGTTTTATATTCAATCAAGCCGGGTAGAAGACCCAAATCTCCTCAATGCAGACGCTCCAATTTATATTGGTATATATATTAAATTGCTAGAATATTTTAAATCATGTGTATAGTACAAGTGTAGAACAACTACTCCTTTTAAGGCATGTGTATAAAGTGAGGACATTTTAAGTATTTCGTGCAGACACCAACTTCAATCTTGGATGTCGAGTTACCCACTACTAGAAAACAATCAAATAGCGACGGACTTGTTGCGACGGGCACATTATTCCGTCGGAAAAACCAAAATTTCTGACGGTTTTTAATTCCGTCAGATATTTCCGACGAATTTAACAATTCCGTCGGAAATTTCCGACGGATTTTAAATCCGTCGAAATATATGTGCTTTCCAACGGAAAATTCCGTCGGAAAATGTCATTTCCGACGGATTTATAGTCCGTCGGAATTTTCCGTCGAAAATATAATATTTTTTTTTTGAATCACACCCTCCTACAAAACCCTACACATTGTGCCGCCTCCTCTCCCTCATTCTGTCTTTCCCCTGCTTCTCTCTCCTGTGTTCTCCCTCCTCTCCTCCCTCTTCTCTCTCCTCTCCTCTTCTCCCTCCTCGCGTTCCGATCCTTTCCTCTTCTATCTCTCTCCTCGCATTCTCCTTCCTCTTCTCCCTTCTTCTCTTTCTGTCCTCTACTTTCCCCTATCTCTCACCAACACTAACCACCACCAACACCGGCAACACTAACCACCACCAACACCGACATCAACAACAACACCATCATCGGCATCAACAACAATTTCCGACTGTTTTCGCCCTATGTCTCTCTTCTCACGTTAAAAACAAAGGTTTTTTTGTCAAATTCGACCATAAAAACTCTAGATCTAGAGTTTTCATGGTCGAATTTGACCTAAAAAAACCCAATTTCGAGGTTATGTGAGGTCGTATTAAGGTATGTATCCTTTTTTTCAATTTTGATTTTATTTTGTTGTTTTATTGGATTTTTTTTTACAATTTTATTGATAATTTTTGGTGGTGACAGTGGTTATTGGTGGTGACGGTGGTTATTGGTGGCCATAGTGGTGATTTTAGGTGGTTGGGGGGTGTTTTGCTTAGGTTGGGGGGTTTGGCCGAATCAGGCTTGGGTTAGGGTTGTAGATCTAGGTTTGGTTTGGGTGGGTTTGGTTTAGGTGGTCTGGTGTTGTGCGATGGTGGTTGGTGGTGGGGGTAGTGGGTGGTGGTGCGGGTTAGGTGGGCTGGTGTTGTGCGGTGGTGGCTAGTTGTTAGGATCCAACCTCTTTCATCATGTATTTTGCTTTCTTATATCTTTATTTAGCTTATGTTAAACTTTCAATGTATTCGTGTAAGTAGTTTAGGCGCTAGAGGAGATTATTGTGTTACTGTCATTTCAGTGTTCACTAGTATTTCTCCATGTAAGCAATATAAAGCTCTATATGGAGCGATGGTTGAATGAATGAAAAAGCTCCTATTCGGGTTGCCTTGCTTTAAGACTTGTGTGTTGATTTAAGCCTTTATAGATATTGTGTTTGCCTTGTTTTAAAGCTCCCCACCAAACCAAGAGACTCTCAAAGACGCCTACATCCTTGTCGGTTCCGCTTGTGCCCGCTTCGAAGTATCGGCCGTCACAAGCCCCGACCCTGCACTCGTTACTAACGATTGCCTCATTGAGATACCTTTGGTCCGTGTTGCTGTGTGCCCACGAACCTCTCTCACTCTAGGCTTGGGTTCTTGTTTCTAAAAGATAAGAGCGCGCCGCACGATCCGGTGTCAAACCACTCGGACCGTGACAGTTGGTATCAGAGCCAACGCTGCATCGTTGCCTAAACTCGTGTTCAAGTAGCACGCCAGTGATGGAAGATAATCTCGAATACACCTTCGAACAACGGCTGGCCTGGCTTGAGGGCAAGTCCGAACAATGGGCCTTCCTAGAGGAAAGGGTGCCCAAGCTCGAAGATATTGTGATTAAGCAGGATAATGAAATCAGCATTCTACGTTCCACAGTAGATGGACTGTTGGAGCAACTGAATTGTGTCCAAGCACTAGCTGATGAGGCACTCGACAAGTGTGCCACTATGCATGCTCCTCAAGGATTTGGGGGCAATGGGGGTGCAAAGATAAAGCCACCCAAGCCCCAAACCTTTGATGGGGCAAGAGACTCGAAGCAAGTCGACAACTTCATCTTTGACATGGAACAATACTTCCGGATTTGTCAAATAGAGGATCCCTTCAAGGTGGATACTGCCACCATGTATTTAGTGGAGGACGCGAAGTTGTGGTGGCCAAATATGCCGACATTCAAGCAAAACGAATCACGCTTGATAGTTGGGAGGATCTCAAGAAGGAGATCAAGAACCAGTTCTGCCCGGATAACACCGAGTTCGTGGCTCGCACAAAGTTAACCACCCTACACCACAAGACTTCCATTCGAGAATATGTGAAGGAATATTGTGCGTGCATGTTAGAGATCCAAGATATGTCAGAGAAGGATCGGTTGTTCAACTTTGTGCGAGGTTTGAAGGATTGGGCGCAACGTGAGATTTGGCGCCAAAAGATAGACACTCTAGCCGGTGCTATAGCAGCAGCTGAGAAGTTAATGGATTACTCACCCGATAAGGGCCCTAATCAAAAGAAGGGGAACAATGGACAAGCAACAAGCACTCCTAGAAGCCAACACCCCGCCTCCCAAGTTAGCTCAAACAATGTTGGGAGTAGGTACAACAAGATTATGGGGGACGACTCTAGAAGGAGTGGAGCTTCCTCTTCATCAAGTAAGGGAAGCACATCAACCTTCTCAACGGGGAACAGACCCCTAACATGCATCCTCTGTCGGGGCCCTCACAAGTGGTTCGAATGCCGTCATAAGGGAGAAATCGATAGTCTCCAAAAGAAGTTATCGGCGATGACGGTGGAGTCAAAACAGACCGAAGAAGCATGCGAAGTAGAACCTGATGAGGAAGAGCCCTCAAGGCTGGGCCCGGTGCACATGTTGTACGCCATGGGAAAGGAAGAGCCCGAGGAGAGGTCCAAAAACACTAAGTTGATGTATGTAGAAGTGTTGGTGAATGGGAGGAGGGGCAATGCGATGATTGACACCGGGGCCACCCATAACTTCATATCCCAAGGAGAAGCTCAAAGATTGGGGCTGAAGCCGATTCAAGAAGGGGGTAGTATGAAAGCTGTTAACTCAGCCGCCAAGCCAGTTCATGGGGTTGCAAGGAACATCCCAAAAAAGCTGGGGGATTGGAGCACAACCTCTCTTGCCTCACACAGTAGCAGACACCGAGGCCGGACGAAGTACTCAAGCTCGAGAATTCAAAAGGGAGTGGGAGCAAAACACAGAGATTGCTCGGCCCTACTTGGAGCGAGCAGCTAGGAGAATGAAGAAGTGGGCTGATCAAAACAGAAGACCGTTGGAGTTTGATGTTGGGGATATGGTGATGGTGAAAGTGTTACCCGAACAATTGAATTTTTTGAGAGGAAGAGATCGAAGATTGATCAGAAAATACGAAGGCCCCATCCGCATCATAAAACGGATAGGGAAGAATGCGTACAAGGTCGAACCTCCAGCATGGATGAAGATACACCCAGTCTTTCACGTCAGCCGCCTCAAGCCCTACCACCCAGATCAAGAAGACTCAAGCCGCAACATCAGCAACCGAGCCAGCATCAGGAGAAAACAGCGCAGCACCTCTTCAGCAGAGACCTAAGGATCAAGAAATTTAGTCTCCTTAGTCATATTTTGTAAGTCGACGAGGACGTCGACAGCTTAAGTGGGGGAGGATGTTAGGATCCAACCTCTTTCATCATGTATTTTGCTTTCTTTTATCTTTATTTAGCTTATGTTAAACTTTCAATGTATTCGTGTAAGTAGTTTAGGCGCTAGAGGAGATTATTGTGTTACTGTCATTTCAGTGTTCACTAGTATTTCTCCATGTAAGCAATATAAAGCTCTATATGGAGCGATGGTTGAATGAATGAAAAAGCTCCTATTCTGGTTGCCTTGCTTTAAGACTTGTGTGTTGATTTAAGCCTTTATAGATATTGTTCTTGCCTTGTTTTAAAGCTCCCCACCAACCAAGAGACTCTCAAAGACGCCTACATCCTTGTCGGTTCCGCTTGTGCCCGCTTCGAAGTATCGGCCGTCACAAGCCCCGACCCTGCACTCGTTACTAACGATTGCCTCATTGAGATACCTTTGGTCCGTGTTGCTGTGTGCCCACGAACCTCTCTCACTCTAGGCTTGCGTTCTTGTTTATAAAAGATAAGAGCGCGCCACACGATCCGGTGTCAAACCACTCGGACCGTGACACTAGTGGTGGGGGTAGTGGGTGGTGGTATGGGTTAGGTTGGCTTGTGCTGGGGTTGGTGATGGGCGGTGGTGGCTGGTGGTGGGGGTGGCTTTTTTTTTGTTTTTTTTAAGCATTTTCCGACGGATTTTCCGTCGGATGTTTCCGACGGAATACAGTCCGTCAGAAATTTCCGACAGACTATCCCAGGCCCGAAAATCCCTTCAGACGGACTGATTTTCGTCAGAAAATCCGTCGGAAAAGTGGTTCCGACGGAATTTTCGTCGGAAAAGTGCGTTTTTTCCGACAAAATGTATTTCGACAACCAGTTCCGACGGAATTCCGTCGGAAACGGGTTTTTCGACGGAAAACGGGGTGTTTCCGACGGAAAATTTCCGTCGTTATTTCACTGTTTTCTAGTAGTGTACCCCTTCGTTTTCGTAATAATTACAACAACATTATTGCACAAAGTTTAGGAAAATTATATGAAATTTTCAAAAATAAAATATATGCAACTGTTGGAAAATTAATCATATAAATTTATAAGCATGTGTAAAATAGTAAAAGCAATTATTGGCTTAAGCAATTCAATTGTCCATATGAAGGAGCTATGGCGAAAATGTAGGTCAGATTTATTAAGGTACAATGTCACTAAAAAGAAAATCACCTTAGCAGCTGCATACAAGGGTAAGCCACCTAATGGGCTTGACATGAATGAGTGGAAATGGCTTATCAAGGAGATATATATGAAGGATGATTTTAAGGTGATTTGACACAACTAGAAATTGCTTTCTACTTCCATTTAATTAGTATTTTTTACGTTAAGAGATATTTATTGATAAAAAATTCCAGAAAAGAAGTGCAAGAAACTCTGAAAACAGGGGCTACTATGCTAAAGAGTTAATGCCTCGAACTGGAAGTAAGCCATTTAGACAAGTCATATGGGACGATTTGGTGAGAATTATTATTTATATTACTTGATTATATTATAGCTTTGATAAGTTATAGATTAATCAAATTAATGACAAAATAATGATTTTCTTTCTTATAAAGGGGGCAAATAAGGGAAATGAGCCAACTTTAGTTGATGTGTTCTATTCGGCCCGAAAGAAAGGCACCGAACTTCCAAATGTCGAGACCACACAAAAACTAGTATGTCCATTAATTGCTTAATGTTATTACCCTGTGTAAACAAGTAACAATTTTTTGATGTTGTGTTTTAGAATGAAATTCGAGAAACAATGGAAAAAGATCCATCTCTTTCCCACGCTGAGGTAACTTTGCTTGTACTATTTTTTTTTTATCATTGTGTTATAATTTTCAATTTCAATCAATGCCATAATTTTTTTTTTTTTTTTTTTTGCTAGAGACTTCTTTTTATATAAATAACTGAAATTGCATGAATGATATAAACCTTTTTTTTTTCCTTCAACACATCAAAGTAGTTTATTGTTACTGGAAACTTTAAAGGAGGTGGTCTTGTAGGTGTACTAGGAGGGATGCCTCTCTGAGGTGGAGGTGTGTATGCAGATTGTGTATGTGAGGAGCGAGGGATGCCTCTCTGAGGTGGAGCTGCGTGGTCTGGCAGGCTACTCCGCAGGCTGCCTGCGGTGTGCAAATGTGTGTCGCGGCCTGCCTGCGATGTAGGCTGTCTTGCACGATTAATGGCTAAAAAATGATAAAAAATAGGGGATGGGTCATTGACGCTAAGAAAATAATAATCAGTGGCACGTAATTGACTAATATTTCGATACGGAAGAGTGTTTTCATCGAATGTGACATGTCTAGAGATGATGATTTTATTAGTGGTAATATCTAGACAACGATAACCCATATGAATCACGATGTAACTCAAAAAACTCAAGATGGAAATCTATGTATATTAATAGGAATATATTTTTTGATGTAAGTCATAACTAATTGTGTAGCATACAATATTAAGCACATAAATTTTTGTTCTCTTAACATATATTTTCATATTAATTTATATTTTAAGCTTTTAATGATTATAAAATCTATATCACATGTGCAGGTAGCACAAAAGGTAATTAAATCCAAGTCTCGAGATCGAGTAATAGGCTATGGAGGAGGAATAAAGCTGAAAGATATTCAAGGACCACAACCTAGCAGAGAAGAACTTCAAGTTGAATTGAATGCCTCTAAAAAACAAAACCAAGTTCTTATAAAACCGCGTTGAACAAGTACAAGAGGAAAAAAATGAATTAAAAGGTCGCATTGGATCAGTTGAGTCTAGAATGAAATTATTTCAGGAAATGTTAGTGACACAGCTTAATGTCACTATACCTTCACATGATGGATCAGCTTAATCTGGCACATGATGAGTAGCTGCAATATATCATTGAAGATCTAGGATCTCTAATAAAGTTTTTATTTTTATTTTTGTTTAAAGTTTAAGATATCAGAATTCTTTTTAGATATTCCTTGTTTAAAACATACTATTTTGTCTTGTTATATTGGATGGTAGTTGGTTTAAAATACATTAAATCTAATTTAATATTAAGTTATGAATCTTTTGGTTTTCTGTTTTGTACAATTATGTTTATTGTGTTTTTTCCTTATTATCATAATAAGTATCTAGCAGATGAGAACAGGTGGGATAAAGCAAGATAGTTTATTAATTTTGTACGATTTATTTTAACGACGAAATATTTTGTTGTTGTAAGATATCATTTCAAAATTTAGTTATTGTTAGAAAAAATTTTAACTATAAAATTGTTGGTCGGTAGTTGGTAATAGTTCGACGCTATTAAATCTACAAATAACGACAAAAAGTCAAATTGTGGTAATTAAGTAACGACGAACTACTATTTCGTCGTATAAATTTAACGACGAACGTAGTCGTTAAAACCAATAACGTCGGAACCTATTACGACAAAAGCACGACGAAATAAGTATTGTCGTGAAAAGTTTTAACGACGACTATTGAGCCTTGTTACGACAAATATTTTCGTCGTAAAAACCCCTTTTCCTAGTAGTGTAGTGGGTGGTGGTGCGGGTTAGGTGGGCTGGTGTTGTGCGGTGGTGGCTAGTGGTGGGGGTAGTGGGTGGTGGTATGGGTTAGGTTGGCTTGTGCTGGGGTTGGTGATGTGCGGTGGTGGCTGGTGGTGGGGGTGGCTTTTTTTTGGTTTTTTGAAAGCATTTTCCGACGGATTTTCCGTCGGATGTTTCCGGCGGAATACAGTCCATCGGAAATTTCCGACGGACTATCCCAGGCCCGAAAATCCCTTCAGGCGGACTGGTTTTCGTCAGAAAATCCGTCGGAAAAGTGGTTCCGACGGAATTTTCGTCGGAAAAGTGCGTTTTTCCGACAAAATGTATTCCGACAACCAGTTCCGACGGAAAACGGGGTGTTTCCGACGGAAAATTTCCGTCGTTATTTCACTGTTTTCTAGTAGTGTACCCCTTCGTTTTCGTAATAATTACAACAACATTATTGCACAAAGTTTAGGAAAATTATATGAAATTTTCAAAAATAAAATATATGCAACTGTTGGAAAATTAATCATATAAATTTATAAGCATGTGTAAAATAATAAAAGCAATTATTGGCTTAAGCAATTCAATTGTCCTCATATGATTTAATAAATTCTCAATATAAGCCATTAATTTGTAATTTGTGGTTGGTGTACCCGGGTGCACCATGCACATGGTGCACCCAAAAGAACATTTAGTATATTTAAAAGAACATAGGTAAAAAATGAACATGTTATTATTTTCATGCAATTGCAAATCCATCACTCTCTTCTCCTACAATTTCTCACTCCTCTTTCCCTTCCTATCACTCTCTTTCTTGCTGCCAATTTTCACTCTCCTTTACACCATCGTTTTCATTTTAGAATTTCAATGAATTTGGGTAAATTAAAAATCATTTCCAAAGTACTCATTTTCTCTCTCCATAACTTTTCTCTCTATCTTTTTCTATTTTTCAAAAAAAAATCAAAATAGAAAAACTGTTCATCTTCAAAGTGAAACCCACGAAAAAAATTGAACTTATTTCAACAATTCAACCTTCAAACTTAAACAAATGGTGGATTTAAGTAAAATGTAAGTATAAATTTTATACACGCAAATTGTTTTTCGTCAATAATTTTAAAGTCAAAGTGTTTAATTTTGTGAATTTGGGGTTTTTTTTTTTAATAAAAAAAATAATTAAAGCTATAAAGTACAAGTTGTTCAAAAAAGAACAATTAGAGGAGAAAGAAGAATAGTAATGAATTGAAGCCAAGTGGAAGATAACCAAGCAAGGTTAATTTTTCAAACATTAGCTTGTTCTTTTTTAAACACTAACATGTTCTTTTTATTCCATGTTCTTTAAAATATGCCTAATGTTCTTTTCGGAGGTCATGTTCTTTGTCAAACACAAACATGTTCTTTTGTTGAACACTATTATGCATCTTCTTTTTCAAATACTAGCATGTTCTTTTTCAAACACTGACTTGTTCTTTTTCAAACACTAACATGTTCTTTTTATTCCATGTTCTTTAAAATATGTCTAATGTTCTTTTTGGAGGTCATGTTCTTTGTCAAACACAAACATGTTCTTGTGTTGAACACTATTATGCATGTTCTTTTTCAAATAATAGCATGTTCTTTTTCAAACACTCGTATGTTCTTTTTTTTTTCTCACGTTCTTTAAAATAAGTCTAATGTTCTTTCCGGGTACACCATGCGCCTGGGTGCACTATACTATTTTCAATTAATTTGTAATATAAGCCATTATTGATATAAGCAATTGAATTATCAACATAAGTGTATGAAAATGTCCACATAAATTACTCCGTATTAAATTATAGAGATAAGTCATTACTTTGTATATGTAAGGTACTAAAATTTTGCTAACCCTAGTGATGTTAGACTCATGATAAATCCGGTCTTAAATAATACTTTCAATTCTCTACCTTATAATATTTTTTTGCCAATCTGCAAATAATTATCAAGCAGAAAAAAGCTAAGAATGCATAAGTATATATAAATAATAAATATAAAATGACGAGGTGCTTCGAAGAATTTACTTTTTGTACAATATAAAGAAGTCACATCCAAGGCATCTAAAATCTAGGTACTTAATTATTTGAGGAAAAACGCTGATTGTTGGCCTGTTGATGATAACTCAATTGAAGATACACGGATTCATCCAATTTATATTCGAATTTTTACTACCTACAAAACTCAAGGACATACGATAATTAATCATCAAGTCTTTATTGCACACCCGTCATGGTCTTCAATATTAATTATATTGCGCATATACAATTAAATTTTTACTTTTTTGTCAATATATATATGTATATATATTACAGAGTTATAAAAAAAAAATGATAATGTTTTGGGTGTTTTTGTCTCTCGGGAGAGTTACGGCTTGAAGATTAGTCTGACTGTGCCTGTACCTGCAAAATAACAGAGACTCCGGGTGGTTGGAGCTCCGCCTTCGACAATCAAGTTAGAACGCGTTGGAGAATGTGAAAAAAGTGCGGAAAGTAAAGTGGGATCTTCTCGGATTCCGAGATCAGGTGTTTTCTCTTATGTGAGAGAATGTAGGATAGGTGTAATAAATTATTGAAAATGTGTCCCAAAACATGGGAGATATCTCCCTATTTATAAGGTCGTTGGGAATGGTGCCCTCTTTTAGGTCATTCTGACTTAGATTTGGTGGGCTACGCCGTTTTACGGCGTTCTAGGGAATTGGGCCAATTTTCAAGAAGTATCTAAACTGACACGTGTCAACTGGTGAATGACCCAGGTGGACCTATCTAAGCTTGACACGTGTCCCTCTCTGATTTGTCCACATGTCTAAGATATTTTTACTCAAAATAGATAATAATTTACTTTGTATGTCTTGTTAAACTTTTTTTATAAAATAAAGTCACTAAATTCATCTTTTCATTAAAACATTTTTTCTACGTGGTTGGCAGGTTGGGTGTCGATTTGTAGGCAACCCGTGTGGGCAAGAAATTATTTGCGAATAACATTACATAACTTTTAACTTAATAACTAATCATGGCCCAAAAGTAGTGGGATTTAGGAGGTTACATGACTTACATCAATATAATTCTATCTTAAATAAACTAAAAGTAGATAATAGCATCATTTTACAAGAATTTTAAAATAAAAGAATGAAATCTAGTTGGACAACCATTAGCTTGGGAAAAGGTAGATAATATAGAAAATTGTAGGATTTGTATATTAAGCAATTAGCTAGAATATTGGAACTCTATCTAATAAGGCAACTACATTGTATCCATCAAGGGAAAAAAGTATACAAAAGATGGCTTCCTACATTACAGAGTATTATACTACGTATTGGATTTTTGTTGGAGTTGGGTTACATAAGTGGATCGGAATGGCACCAATACAAGCAAGTATATGATAACCGTACCCTTCCATTCCTGTATATTTGATATGTTTTGATTTTTATCGTAACTTTGACTATTAATATATTTATTTAACTATGTATTAGTAAAAACTATTAAAACTTGATATTCCGATATTATACCCGATAAGTATTCACCCTGTAGGCCCCAATACTAAACATTTGACATATTTTAACTATCAATATTTTTTAACTATGGATTGCTTAAAAAAAAAAAAAAAAACAACTTAATATTCTAACATATTATTACATACATTGACCAACATCGTCTTGCTTAAAATATTAACATTGTATTTTTTTTTTCTTTAAGAAATATTAACATTGTATTTTACATAATACCAAAAATATATAAAATTATGCTAAAAGTCAAAGCGTCATATTTAGGATGAAGAGAGTACAAATTTAATTTTTTAATAGAATGATCATGTTCAATACTCGGCTCGGCCCCTAAAGGGGCGGGCCGGGGGAACGGTTGTTTGAAAAGAGAAGGTCACGACAAGGGGAGTCGTAAGTGTTTTTTTTATTTATCATTATAATAGGTATTAGGTGTGAAGAAGAAGTGTTCGTTATGAACTTGTGATATACGCAGCTGAAGCATCTTATTTTAGGTGTGTTTACAGAGCCACAAGGGCGGGTGATGAAAATGAATCCCAACATCATCTGGAACTGGGAGGAAAGTTCTAACCACTAGAGCTATCATTCACTCTCGATTAGCTTAATAAGCATCCTATCAGACAATATAAATCAGCTCCAAGGAGAAAAGGATTAAATATATATGTTATCAAGTGCTAAAAATAATATTCATTTTATTCTAATATAGATTAGTATAATTTGAAACCAATTTTGGCTCTAGCTAGCATTCACTTTAGGCTTTTAGTTTAGTTGATCGATTTTTATTTTGACATGGTATCAAAGCCAACATGATAATAAGATAATAATGAATTTTAAATCTCAATTATTTTCAACAACATGTCGATTATCAAATAAAGTCGAGCTACACTCCCTAAATAAGGTCATTTTTTATGCCTATACGTTGTATGTAGAATAAGACTTGATGCAATAATAACGTAGTTTAAGACCCCTCTCATTGAAAGGGGACACTCCAAAAAGAAATTCAGATCACATTATTCTACACAACATAGTGTAGAATTTTTCATAGCAAAATTAGGCAAAATAACACCATAACATAGCCACCAAATGTAGAAAAGAAAAAAAAAAAAAGTGTATAATTTATCTATTTATGATCAAATTATATAATTCGAGTATCATCATATCAACGCGGTATTTCTAGCTAGCTAAAAAGGATTGTCTTGAAACAATTCATGTAGTTGTCCTCTAAACAAATGCCGGGAATTAGCTTAATTAATCAAAATTGTTAATTAGGCGCAACAAAGCATTTTCTTAAAGCAAGATTCAGAAACAACGGCGGTGCCTTTACAATTAATCTACAATTATTTAAATTAGTGAAAGCTAATTAATTAACAAAGAATAATATTAATTTGTAGCTTGAACTAACATATATTATTTTACATAAATAAATATATATGCTTTTAAAGATTCTCTGGAGTATATACATACTAGATTGCTTTATTTAGCAGATTAAGCTTACAAAAATGTCAAAATCAGTAGGAAAGTTTGTTAATTGTTATAATTAGAATTTGAATAAATAATCTAGAAAATCAAAACGTGTTAAACCAAAAAATTGAACCAAAAACTCACGTATATATATGCCTTACAAGGTCCCTTATTTTTTTCTCATTATTCCATCATTCTTCTAAAAAACTACAATAATCCAATCTTATCACATTAAACTCAAATCTAGGTAACTAAAGATGTCGTCTTCGACAAAGAGGTGTAAGGTGGTTCGTACGGAGAGTATATTAGATGAATATAAGATCTATTTCTCTCATGTATTGTCACCTTTTAAGAAGAAGAAGAAGCAGCCTAATGCTGAGCGTAAGAGCGCGGCGAATGGGCCGCAGCATCAGCAGCGTTATGGTGGGAATAGGGTTACTGAATATAGGTATGAAAATGTTGATGATGAAGCTGACAAGTTTATTAGGAAGAAGCAACAGAAATTTGAGCTCAGCCTTTGGAAGTATTAAATAATTATTCAATCATGTAGATTGTGGTGTGTATGTATAATAATGTGACTTATTATTAAATGTAACAATTGTGTACGTATTTTGGACCGACATTTATATTTACTCAAGTATATATTGAAAATAATAAACCTAGCATCTTTTTTTTTTCCCCAAATAAATTAGACAATTACATGTGATACATGTTAAGATCATTAAGTAGTGTAATATAATCTTCCAAGTTCTTGTCGAAAATTGCTAAAGTAATTTGAGTATTAAATCCCTTGAACAACTTCCTTCAATTGTTTTCGGCTTCTCCTATAATCGATTGTGTGTTTTCCTAGTTATAGTAAAAGTTAGTTTTATCCAAGATGAGTTAGCACAAACGTTTAAAGTTCACCAAAGGTTAATTAAACTACATTCAAATTCGTAAAACACGTGTAAAACCTCACATTCTAAACGTACTTATATCAGTTTTGCCACATATATTATAACTATGAGAAGACGGTTGAAAATTGAGGTTACAACTTACAAGCAATAGCGAGGATGCAAAAATATGTCCTGAATCAGATTATCATTTTAAGTAACTGGCGAACATATTGATCTTGCCTTATTTGATTGTAATATGTAAATGTCATATTAGGGCTAAAACAATTTGTTTAGTATAGTTATTGGGCCTAATGCATTTCCGTTCATTTCAAGGAGCCATGTATAAACAACCTTATATTGTAACCTAGTCTAATTATGTACTTCGTAATTTTTATTCACTGAGTTCAACATGAGTCCATCTCGCCTGCCTGTGGAAGCTAATGCATAGTGTTAATAAGGGAGCTACGTAAATTTGTGTGTGTTCTTGTTTGTTGTTTTTCGCTTTAGCTCTTACATAATTGAAGTACTTTATGAGTACATATTGATTATTCTAGCTAAAGTTGCAATACATGGATAGTAGATTTAAGAGCTATACTGATTATATAGAAAGAAAATTGATGAAAATAAGACACTTCTCTCTCAAGATGCATAAATAGAAGCTCTCACATAAACAATTTATTTGCAATGAAATTTCGATTTTTATTTGATTTGAATAGATCTCAAGAACAAGTTAATTACATAGATTTTCATAAAACAAGAAATCAATTTACAACTCAAATTGTTTGCCTAATCTAGGAAACCTATAGCCAATCCCTCATAATATGCAATCTAGATACTACTATCATAAAAGAATGAAAAATGGAAACTAGGATAGTAGTGTTCTTAAATACATATCAATCTTATGAACATCATTGTACAATAATAACTCTTATTCGATAATCACGAATGTAGAATTATTATGATCAAACTTCTTTCGCTTCTGTTGAATAAAGACCTCGGCTTCACAATTAACGTCCCCTTCACATTTCATAATATCACCATGTTTGATTGCATTGTCCACCTTACTACGTTCATTTACCGACTTCTTTTGGTGGCTAATCTTGTAAGCCGGCGACAATATGTAAGAGAAGTAACTCTCACGTTCATCTAGGCTATGAACGTTACTATTGTTGTTGTTATGGTTGGATTTCGGCTGCTTCTTCTACACTCGCTCTCACTCGATCAGTTAATATATAACTTCACGTTTTTTTCAATCTTTTTTTGTTTTTCCTTCTTTGTGTTTGATTTGCTCGAGTTTTTGTCACGAGGTTAAACAAGATAAATGGCTCTATACATATGCAAGCAATTGAATTTACGTGTGTTCTTTACATTGATGAATGATAGAAGAGAATCTGATACTCTTTGATTGCTTTTACGTTGGCATTGAAAATAGAGGCGCAGTTAGTTGAAATTCAACCTAAGAAGCTTGAAAGTTGAAAGAATTTCTTAAAGGAGAAGTAATACATAATTGTAGGTATAACGACTTTATTCCTTGTTTGAATTTTCCCATGCAATGTTACAAGCGATCTTGAGAATTTTGGATATTCGGTTCAAGTTAAAACTAAGTTTTCAAAACTTTGTTATGATAATATCATAAAGACACGAGAATATCCCAAAAATTTTACACTCATACATCACAAATTATTAAAAACGTACTATGTAGAGAAGAAAAAAAAAAAAACTTGATTTATCCACCGGATAGATTATCAACCAATTGCGCGCACAAATAATCAAAGATGAAACTTATAGTAGACGAAAAAATAATTTTACTACGGGCCCCGTTTACTTCACCTTATTTTTGCTTAACTGAAATTATTTTTACTGATTTTCTATTATATTCCTTTTTTAAGTTTACTGATTTTTGCTAAAATGAAATTATTTTTACTGATTTTCTACTATATTCCTTTTTTAAGTTTACTGATTTTTGCTAAAATGAAATTATTTTTACTGAATTGAAATTATTTTTGCTGAATTGAAATTATTTTTACTGAATATTATTGTTATAAGGTAAAGTGAACAGCGCCTTAGATAGGATAACCTATAAAGAATTACCTTTTAGGTGTTCACATGATAACCTTCTAGTTTTGTGATCCTGGTTCATTATATTACTAACAGTCCAAAACATTAATTAATCAAAAAGATAATTTCATTTCTTCATCCGACTAACCTATCTTCTTTTGCTTTTATTATGGAGGGAAATGGTTACTAATTTTTCCTAGGGGTGGAACAATAGCAAAGGATGATAAAATAATTCGCCCATCCTTTCCCCTCAGTCAATCCCATATAATTTAGACCTGAAATCGGCGAGTATATTGAAAGATTGACAAACATTCAAATAATTCAGCTGGTGCACAAAAGTTTATCAAGTTGATCTAAAAGAGAAGCCAAAAATATTCCTAATACAAAAAAAAAAAAAAAAAAAAAAAAAGTATATCAATAGGACAATAAGTTTGAGTTGAAGATTTTTCTAGTATAATAAACCAATTCTTGAAAATTTTCTAGGACAAGGTCTGTATCACAGATCCACAGATGCATTCAGCATACACATGCTATAAAGCCGGAAAGGAATAAGATTCGTTAACATCATATTAAAAATAAAGAGATGTCAAGAGAAGAACACGACGAATTCTAATCTGGTGAGCAGAGTCGTCTAAAGATAACTCCGTATATAACTAGAAGTCTGCGACTCAAAACTACATCTACAACAATCATCAATTCATCATAAGCTACCAAAATGAGTACCTTGAATGAAACTGATGCTTATTTCTCGCACCTATTTTCCCTGCCAAAGAAGCACAAAGATGAGCCTCCTACTGATTCGAGTAGAGGGTGGAGAAATGGGAACGTCAAATATGGAGATGACATCAATGCTGAAGCTGAACAGTTCATACAGAGAAATCATAATGGTGCACGAAAGAAGCAAGAAGAAGATGTTGATAGTGAAGCTGAGGAATTCATTAACCACGAGCACCTCAAGTTTGCACTCAGCAAACGGATGCCCTCCAGCATTGGATGATGGGAGAATTCCCATCATTCAACGGCAAGTAGCATGCATGATAACTGCATAATAATGCCTGCCATATTCTTTTTTTTCCTTCTTTCTTTTTTTCATTTTTGAGAGATTAATCTTTCGCCACCTTAACACACTTGTTTGTCTCACTTTCTCTATTTGCCATGAAGTTTTGTACTTTTCTTGTTTAATTGTGTTATTCATCATCAGATCGAGTCTCAAGGATATTTCTAAAGCTCATAGCATATGATTTTGCATATTATCACCTTATGTTCTACGCAACATAAAGGTAAAAGAATAAACAAATTTCAAAATTATAAGAGAAATTACATGTTTCTCTCCCTCTAAGAGGTACAGTTCATGACTTTATGGTAACAAAAATAACTGATGTGTGACCTGGGAGAACAAATGTTACAGAGAGAAGTTTTCGTTGAAGTATACTAACCATCATTCAAGAGTAAAGGATAGGTTTGCTCTATACAATGAAAAATATTTTCTGAAAGTTCACCTCGAAATTCACTGAAGCAGCGAGAGCCATGTCGCAGGCCAGCATTTCTCAGCAGCTAAAAACAAAAATACAAATTTATTCGAAACATAGAAAAGGTAGAATCTCAACTTTAAAGAATTTCTTTACACGTCTCTATCTAAACTATGGACATTAACAACAAATAGGGGGCAAATAAAATCATTTGGAAATTACCATCATGTTACTGTGAAATTCCATCACTAAGTGGCCGGGAAAATTCAGCAACAGAGCCGGTAGAGCTACTTGAAGGTTCTGAATACCATTGGTTCTCTTCTCGAGTGATGAAGGTAGCCTCTGCACATACAATGTACTACATATGTCAGCTTGCAGGGAATAAAATGTAGTCCAGATTCAAAAATCAGGCCGTAGAGCACAAAGAGTCAAAGACGCAGGTAAATCTCCATTTGAGACTGCATAAATCATACCAGATAAGAAGACATCCTTGTATGCTTCATCATCGTAGAGAAACTGTGGTGGATCAGGAGAACCAATCCCAACAATGGTGCTTCCACTGCATTGAGCATAATGCAAAAGAACAATTATGGCAGCACCACAATGAATATATAAATGCATAATATAGAAGATCCTTTAAGTCGATGCAGTCAGCAATTAATGAAAATTAAATAAAATTTAAAAAAATAAAAAATAAAAATCAATGAGCCAAATCCAATAGTCCAAGGGGAAATGTATGGTCTTTTTTTCTTTTAATCTCACTTCAAATTTCGTTTTGCTACATAAACTAATAAACAAGCTTTGAACAAAAGAGCTGTAGTATACTTCGTATAGGACTATCAGTTCATAATTAAATGGAGTGTACGAGAAACCTAGTGTCTGGAAAGACATTGCAATTGTATGTCATGCACAAAAGACGTTATTGAATAAGCAAGCATGTTGGCATTCACTCAAAATGCTGATACAGGGGTTTGGGGTGTAATGGCTCAGCATGATATTCATTCAGATACTGAGTACAAAATGACGTTAACTTGTTCAAAGCCTTGAGAAAAGATAATAGCAGATACAGAGAACTATAGCATACACGCACTGGAATCTCACCTTCCAGACATAAAAACAGCATCATATTGTCCACGGCTGGCTGCAATTATGCGTTGTTTCAATCTTCGCAGAGTTGGAAGAACTTCAAATGCAGGAGGCTCTGAAAACAATATTATTAGAAATTCATCCACGAGATTTATTGAGCTAATATAATGTTGTTATACCCAATATACGCTCCAAGCAAAAATAGAACATGAACAATCAAGACCAGGATTGGAATAATAGAACTACAGTTAGCTTTATGTAATTCACGGACAGGATGACTATATTATATACAAAACATCACCCAAATCTAGTCTGACTTCAATCTGTTAAGTGTTTCACCAATCCAATCCAAAATCAAAAAGTTATGATCAGTTCTTAGGAGGAAAAGTTCTAAAAATATAACCATCCCCAGGTTAGCAGTTACAAGAAAGGGCCATTCTCACTACTATGTTTCTATATGCTGTCTTAGTAGTCAGACTTTGCAGAAATGACAAGATTACACAATATCTCAGACATTGGGATCCAATTAACTGTTATAAGGGGCAGAGAAGATTAATTTTAACATCATACCTACCCAAATCATTGATGCATACATCTTGAGAGATTCCTTCTTTCGATATTTTCTCCAATAAAGATAAAGGATCAACCTTGCTAGTTTGATCCAAACGAAGGCTCTGTGGCAATAGAATAAACGATTAAATATACACATTATAAGGAAGCCAAAGATCTTATTGCATATACAGCATTCTCCAGGAGTTATGGAATATGCATACCTTGTAAACTTGGGCAGTGGAGCATGCTTCTTGGGGCTTTATAAGGACCATTGGAGTATCCAAAGGAATGGGTGGCGGTATATTTTTAACTTCCTAAATAATAGAAGAAGATTCATCAGCAGGAAACTACGGACTAATCTATTACTGTCCAAAAATGTACTAAAGCAGCATTTTCGAATAGATACTTTGTATATTTTAGAGATAAAGTCACTTTGCTTTCTTTAAGAGAGGACATGACTATAGCATAATTAAGACAAAAATTATTAATATTTAGCCAACATCTAAATTTTTGAAATGCAACAAAGATCTAGATATGCTCCAATATTTCAAACTTCCAGACAATTATCAAACAACAGCTTTGTACAAAAGCCAGTCCAGCTTCCTCGGTCCCTCCTGTAGTGAAGGTATATAGTTTTCTTTATTCATAGGTTTGTTTTATCATCAGTTTAGAATTAGACAGTCCAATGAACATTTATTACCACCTTTCAAAACAATAAATTGGCACTAAAACTTGAATTGCATGAAATACCTCGCCCCTTCCAGTACAATATGCAGCTCCACGGGAGAAGAAAAAAGGAATATCAGAACCTATTTCACTTGACCATTCTTGAAGTTCTTTTTCTGTTGCAATACCACCACTAAATTGATTCGCTGCCCAAAGTGCAGTAGCAGCATTGCTACTTCCTCCTCCAAGCCCGGCTCCTGTAGGAACCTTCTTATCAAGATGAATCTGTTAATCAAGATCCAAATTAACAAATGTTGATACAATATCTAAAATTAATTGTCTGAATTCATTACTCAAGAAAATCACTTCAAATACCCAAAAATACTTGTCACTGCCTGTCTTCTGCCGATACAAGTTTAGAGCCTTAATTATCTGAAGATGAAAGTTTAAACTTCAGTCCTTGCAACACAATTGCATAGCACAATTCATCAAATAGTCACTATATACTGCAGTAATTACCAGGTTCTCATCATCAAGGGGAACTCCAGCCACATTTGTTGATAAACTATCCTTGGTCCTTGAGGGTGACAAAGAGAATTTTATTTTATCCCCCAAACTTATCACCTAAATCAAACATACATAAACAAGATATTAGTTTACCAAGACCTTGGGGCATTACGGCACCCAAAACTTGAGATTAAATCTCGTCTACAACATAACATCACCGCCTTTGCGTGTCTATATATTTTTGTGATATCTACAAAATACAGATAATTAATCATAATATTTTCCCTAAAATACCAAAATTGATAGAACATACATGAAATAGAGACGCCAAATCATGATATCCATCCTCCCTTTTTCCAGTTATCCTCAAAAACACATTCACCTGTAATTCATTTCATTTCATTTCAAAAAGTACCAAATTACAATTAAACTTGCAATCAAATCAAAATTAATTAGAATTAAATTAAATTATTACTCCGGAGTAAATGTCACACCTTACAAGGTGAGAAAAGAGTGAGCCTAGAAAGACCAGCTTCCTTATCCACTTCATCTGCTAATTTATTCAATCTTTCTTCTGGGTCATACACTATCTACCAGAAAAAAAATTAATACATAAACAAAAATGGAGAAAATTTTATTCAGTAATTTCAATTGAAATTAGTGGTTACCTCTAATTGTCTTCTATCCCCAGATGACATGGTTTTGAAAGATGGGTACTTTCGAAGATTATATTTCTGGCTAATAGAAGGAGACCCATGGATTTTGAAAGCAGAAAAATCATTTCTTTTGGTTGAATTAAAAGAATTGAAGAAAATTGAACTGTGAAAAAGATGAACTGAAGCCATTTTTGTTTACTGTTAGCAGAAGCAAAGGGGCTTCTACACTCAGTTCATAGTTGATGCCACCAATTTTGCCAATGAAGCGTTTATTTTCCTACCTGTACAAAGTTTGGCCCCACCAACTATTTATTCGCCGAGCGTAGCTTGCAATAATCTGACTCAATGGTATTATTCGATTATCTAATACTTTGTACTAGGTTAAGTCCGTGTCATGCACGGTCATTATTAAATTTTACAACAAATAATAGTGTAATTTAATATTAATTTATCTAAAAATTTATTTGTAACAAAATAACTTGAATTTTAGTGTATACTAATACCAAATACTGAAATACGTAAAGGTTATTGAATTGAATTGTATAAAAAAAATATAATAATAGAAATTTAGAATCTATAAGGTTTTATGTAATAAAATTAAAATATTAGCTTAGATTTGTAGCCATATGCGAATTAATATACATCTATCCTTAAATTATTAATACATTTTCACAGAAATATGAAAATTTATTTGATTTCATTTTACTTTAGAATAATCAATATTTCGTAATCAATTTTTGTTAATATATTTTTAGTGAGTAATAGGAGTTTTTATTTTTTTTTTTTAGTAATCATATATAAATATTAGAGTAATTAGATTAAATTTTCCAATATATGTTATGTATACTATAATAGAATGATTTTGTTCACATAAATGTTATATAATTTTAAGATTTATATAAAGTATGCTACCAAATGATATTTTTTTTAATTAAAATAAATTTTATTGTCAAATAATGAAAGTTGGAGAAAAAAAAATTGATATTGACAATATTATAATAATATTGAAAAATAATATATTACAATACCTTATTTTAAATCTATCTAAGTATTTATGTAACTAAAAGTTTCCTAGTATATAAAATATATGTACAAAAAATTGACTATAATGGGATTAAATATATTGTTAAATTGGAAATAATTATTATTGTAGGTTATAAAATGAATGTCATTAAAATATTGCAAAAAAAAAAAAAAAAAAAAAGGAAAGATAAAAAGGCGGGAAAATTTTTAACCAGGAAATGACAAGTGTCATTCCAGGTTTCGCCTTTAGTATAGGTTTATAGATAGATACTAAGGGTCTGTTCTCATTGACTGAACTCAGTTGAACTGAATTGAACTGAAATGAATATTTTATAAGAGAAGGAAATAAACATATGAGAACAAGCCCTAAGAGTAATCTAAATTCAGGAATTGTTATGTATAGATATAATTACTTATTTACCCTGTATTCATTGTTAAGTATGTTGGTTTTGAGGATATTAATTTGGAATGTCTCTATGCTCGTTTTCAAATGTGCCACGAGCATAATGAGTTGACTCGCCCAAATAAACTCTCACAATTGATTAGGTGAAACGAGAAAGATGGATTGTTGTCCATAGAAAAAATTGATAAGATTTTCCCAAGACTGTCAAGTCGATACGTTTATTATTGACTAATTTACCGTCCATATAAAAATTGTTAGAAAGGGTACTAGCACGGTCCCACATGACATGTCATATGGGCAAGGCCATTCTTGGACTCCGTCACCTCCGTTTATGAAAATCGATATGAGGGCATTACATGATTTTTTTTTAACACATGACATGACAACCTACTTTTGTCGGTGTCAACTAACACGACACATGACCCAACATGACTCTCATATTGTGCCTAGTTTTAACTAGAATAATCACAATTATTTCCCAAATTTTAAAGTATTAAAAGTATCATTGATTCGGTTGACCCTTAACCAAACATTTGGTTCATGACCCTATGGATATGTGATCTCAACATATACAACTAGAAATGATCAAATTCCAAAAACAATCCAAAGTCGAAACTATCTAGCTCAAAACTAACCCTAATGACTATTTTGACAATTCTAACATCTTAAGTTACGGAAAAAGTTTATTTTTATTACAAGAGAGAAAGAAATATAATATAGTGTAAAAAAATCTAACTAACCCATCAAACTAAACCGATTTTACTTGACTAACCCAATTCAGGATTCTACTATTCTAATATTCGCTGCATTGTTCGGTTGTTCCTCAAGTTTCGTTTCCAAGGTTTTCAGCAATGAAACGCCACTCATTTCGCATTCGACTATCCCCACCACCAGAAGGCAGAAGAGGCACTTGAAATGGGGCAAAATCTATGATGGTAAGCATCTAAAACCCTAATTCAGTTCTATTTTTCCATTTGAATCTGTAGTATCTGCTTAATTCGTTGCTTTTCCATACAAATAATAGAAATTAATTAACATCCAGAAATAGAATTCAATCCTTCATTTTCTCTTCCGTAATCGAATTATTTGTCTGATAATTCGTTTCCCGATTTAAATACTTCAGAAAAGATAATTTCTTCTCATGTTTTTGGTAATTAGAGGAGGATTTTGGTTTTATTTAGCTTAGCTTAAGAGATTAACAAATACTCGTAATTGCTTGTTACCAGGATATGAATTGGTCTCATTAAAAGGCCCTTTAACAGTATTAATATTTTGATGTCTTTTTCCGGACATCCTAAAAATAGTATCGGTCAATAATGTAGTAATATATCTTTCTTTTCTTTTTTTTTTTTTAATGGGAATTTGTCATTCAAAAATCATCTTTCGAGTTTCCTGCCCTGGTTAGAGTTAAAAATGTGTGAATCTACTAAGTGCAATTGTGCAAACCATAGAGTACTAGTTTTATCTATTACTAGAAGAGTACTACTGTCTTTTGTGATCTAGGTATATGAAGCGAGTACATTGTCATTGTTATTTGAAGTGAATTACATCATATAGGCGAGTTCGTATCATGTGTTTTTGGTTGGGTAAATCACTAGCTGGCCTGGATAGGAAGGAATTCGGTAATGAGGGCTGTTTGCATTAGGATTACTATATTTCATCATTGAAGTCATCCTGTTGTTCAAAATGAAAAGAAAAGTTAGATACATTCCATATTCCAATGGAGTTTGAAGAGAAAAAACTTCATATGTTATTACCTTTCAATCTATGTTACTCGGACACTTCATTTCACCTCATGTACCGGTGTCGGACCCTTGACACTCGGACATTGGTATGACACCCAGACACTTCACTTTTAGTTCAAAATCATGGAATTTTTTCACAAAATAGCCGAGTCAAAGTGTCGGACTCTTGGACACATACCCATGTTGGACATGGGTACCCGAGTCCAAGTAACATAGCTTTCAATTCAACAGCCCTTTTCCTCCGTGTTGTATCTCGTCCTCGAAGAAGTTTATCCTTGATCAAACACAACTTTTTGATGACATCACTGATGTCCATCCTTTCTCCAAATGACTTAGCAGAACAAACAAGTCCAACACTGAACATCTCTGTCAAGGAATCCATGATATGATGATTGCTTCTCATGTTCAGGATTTGTAAATTGGTGGGATTGGTCAATGAACAAAGAAAGTTTAAAATATCAGTTCCTGTTGAGCCAAGAAAGCTTCCGCTTATAAGGACCACCTGAATCTCATTAAGCTTCCAAAGAAGGGGTACTTTGACTACTTTCCTTAAATCCCAGCCAAATTGTTCATCTGCTGTTGGAAAAACTGCAGATTTGTAGCATTGGATAGAGAAGTAGGAATGGGACCTGAAAATTGGTTAAGGGCTGCAGACTGCAGTAAGTTCATTTAGGTTTGGAAGAGTGGTGAAAAGTTCTGGATGGGGAAGATGTCCCTGGAGTTGATTACTCCTAAATCCGTCAGTGTAATGGAGGAGATATTGAAATTTGAGGGAGGGACAATTCCAAACAAGTGGTTAACACCAAGTCCCAAAAAAGTAAGTTGTTTAAGTTGGCCGAGAGGATCAGGGATTTACGTACTAAATTGGTTTCTTCTACTGAGAGAGTGCTTAGTGAAGACAAATTTCCAAGAGAGACTGGGATTCAAAAATTTAATTAATAATGAGGTGAATTCCTTATTTTGTATCTTATGTGCTTTCCGATCAGATTGTTGATGTTCAGTGGTAAGATCTGAAGCATCGATAGGGATCCTAACTCCTTTGGTAGCTCTCCTTCCAGGTTATTATTAGTTAAATAAAATGCTATTAGCTTAGAGCACCTGGATATATTAAATTGAATTTCACCTCTTAAAGAATTATTGTACAGGTATAATATTTGCATTCTTCGCAAATAGCTGATCTCTGAAGGGATTTGATGCCTGAAGCTATTGTTTTTCAGGTCTAGTATCTTTAAAAGGCTCAAAGTTCCGATATGTGGTGATATGGAGCCTGCTAATTGCAAGGAATTGAGTTTCAATTCAGTGACTCTTTGATGGCATTGGCTACAAGTAACACTGTGCCACTTGCAGAAATTGACAGTATTAGTCCAAGAGCTCATAATTTGTGATGGGTCAGCTGTTATCTTTTTCTGGAAATCATGCAAGGCTAGATGATCGTCTCATTTCTGCTTATTCGACATGATATTAAGGAGACAAGGGATGTGTAGGTGATATAATATACAAGGAAGGATGTCCACAGGTATGGAGCACCCATACCTAAAGTTATATGATATTGCATGCAACCTAGGTACTTAATGAGTTAATGTAATTAGGAGGATTATACTGTTCTCGGCTGTCTGGGTTCCTGGAATAGAAAGACAATGTAGGAGGAAATACCCTTTATCTTATTTTGTTTTCAAATAGGAAACGGGGGTATTTGTAATTGAATAGACTGATATAGGGAAAAACTGAGAATAAAGGAAGTAGAGTGAGATTTAGAAGAAGCTAAATAGAGTTGTATTAACAATGCTATCAATTCATCACTAAGAGAATACAAATCAAGGCCAAAAGAAGATAGAGGCACACACAATTTCATGAATACATGCTCTTTCCCATATCCCCTTGCTTATTGCCTTATTCTACTGTACCCTTGACATGATTCACATATCTGTCAAACCCTCACAATTCACTGATGTGCCCTCAATCTTCTTTAAGGCACAGACTGTAAAACCTTCTTACAGTCTCTTGCTGATGTCACCTTCAATTCTCTTTGGACTTCTTGCATAGGTTTTGCCGCGATTGGATGGCTTGTGATGCATTGCAGTATTTCAAGAAGCAAGATGTTCATTTTTGAAAGCCAAGAAACTTTCTGCCTGATGTTAACCATGGTTCCATGTGTCTTCTTATGTGGCATTGCTGAGACATTGCGTGGAAAAGTTAATTTGTATCTCGGAAGTTGGAAGTGTCAAATGGGTAAATCGGATAATAGTAGTTTCAAACTTGGGATAACACTGTCTTAATTTTCTAGGTCTGGTCTGCACAAGTTTTACATTATTATTTGGTTGATTAATTGTCTGGCTAAATCTCTTACACATATTTTAAGGCCTATGTGATGTGTTGCATTCCCATTTACAAGGTGAGATCACTGTTATGCCTTTGGCAGGTTTACACGCGGAGAAAATAACCTTGCTATATAACAGTGACATTTTTGGGCCATTGGCATGAAAGCATCATAGTACTGTAGGTCCGTAGCCATATTTTTGATAGCCTAAACATTCTTAAGAAAAGCTAGTTGAACATTCTTAAGTAGCAAGCACTTATAGCTATTTACCTTTATTGTTGCACACTTACAATCTTCAGGTTTTATAGGCACAAAATCCTTCGTCTTTTGTAAATATTACCTTGTTGGAGTTAATTACACTATAGGATACATTGAAGATATACCTGGAGTTCATCTCTAATATGCTGAAGTTTCGTATAGGTGAGTATGAAGATCAAGACTGTTATTGGTTCACGCATATATTGGTTCAAGGCCATTCCAAGAAGATCAAGACTGTTATTGGTTCAAAAGAACAAGATTAATCAGTTGGCAACTAGGCACCCACCAAACTATTCGCCTTGGCGGATAAATATGCTAGAAGTAGATGGACAGATATCCATGAGAGACAGGGTTGCCTCTTGTTGGAATGGCCTTGGCTCAACTAAAGAAAGTGAAGCTTTGACATGCTCCTTAACTCCTTGCAAATAATTACTACCAGACTAATGTTCTAAACTTCTAAAGTGTCTGCAGTTAAGCAATTTTTTAAATGAAGCAAGGCCTTGAACCATTCTCTCATCGCGTATGTTTTAGAATAAATCAGGATTTGGTAAGGTACTAAAATCAGTTGTGGTTCTCATGAGGTTCTGGGAGGCAAGTCTCACAAGTCAAGTTGAACACGAACAGATTGGGAGTAGATGATGTTCTGTCGGAGTATATTCTGATTTTGATGTGTTGATATCATCAGATTTCTCACCATGCCGCAGATGAGGAAGTATAAATCAAGGGTTGTGAGACAAATGGAAGTGTCTCACTACTATTAAAATAACATAAAAGTATAAGGAAGAGAGAGATAGGAAGAGTGAAAAAGGTGGTGTGGGCCCCATTAAAACTTTTCAGACATGTATCTTGTGTAAAAACGGACACAAATTTTTGGGGACCACTACCACAATTTATATTTTGTTCCACTAAAACTCCAGTGAAGCTTTTTGAAGTACCACTGAGACTATATTTTGTACTACTGAGAGTGTATTTTGTAGCACTAAAACTCCAGTGATATTATTTAATAACTCAATGAAACAACTTTAAATTGACATTTGAAATGCATATATTACCCTTGCGAGACATGACTTTATTGCCTCTCAACCCTCCATTTAGATAACCTCGCTAATGCGGATAGGTCTATTGCAAACACAAGCTCATCACTTGAAGCTTCTGAACTTTACCATCATTGCATGATTTCTGGACTGTTTTGGCCATTATCATTCCAATTAGTAATGTTTATAATTGTTGGTCTTACATTAGCTCTAGATTGATCAAATTCCTATAATGTATGTTCGGTTCATGCATAGTATCTGACAGCAACTAGTGCTAGGCGTGCTTGATCTTGGCTCTAAAAGATCACTCTGACATCAGACATGAAGATAGAAGATATGGCAATATTGGAACAACTTAGAATATAACTTACAAAGAACTGTGTCTTACACTCTTGCATCAGGTCTTTATTTTTTATTTTTCTGATTAGCCACTTGTGATTTAATACTTCAATCAATTTGAGTATGTTAACATCTTATTTGAATAATGGAACTAGTCATGATTCTTTGGTCATCACAAATAATTAACGAATGTACGAGAAACTATAAGTGCATAACATTCATTGGATACTTCAATCCAATATTTTAAAAATGTCACTCTTAATTTGGAATATGGATCCAACACGTCCTGAAAAGTACCCCTTAAATGACCGAATTGCCCCAATAACTGACTAATAGTCCAATTATTGTTTCCTTGAGAGTACTCCTATTACCTCTGTTTTATATTATTTGCAACAATTAGACATTTTTTACTCACATTTTATATTAAATCATTACAAATATTATGAAATTGAGGTAATATTATTTTCTATGTCTTTGCTTCCATCTAATTAATCAAAGAAAAGTTGCAAACTATTAAGATTTTTTTTATTTTTATTTTTAGGCACATGCATTAATAAAGGTTGTGTTTGGGGAAAAGCTTAAAACTAAAACTTGTTATGTTAGCTGATTTTAACTAGCATATTGTATTAACTGATTTGACTAACTTATTTTATTAGTTGATTGTATATAAAAGTGTTTGGTAAATAGCTTATTGTTTAAAACTGATTATTATGTAAAATGATCAATAAGTTAATTTTGGGGTAGGTAGTTCATATAAGATTTTAAATTAAATGGGTTTATAAGTAGTCAATAAGCTAATGTTGGTCAAATAAGCTAATTTTGCTCAAATAAGCCAATTACCAAACAAAGTCAAAATCTTGTTTCATATAGCTGAATCTATCTTATTTCTAAGGGTCTGTTCTCATTGACTGAACTCATTTGAGCTGAACTGAACTGAATTTATTAGAGCTGAACTGAACTGAATTTATTAGAGCTGAACTGAAATGAATATTTTATAAGAGAAAGAAATTAGGAATTGAACTGAATCGAACTGAATTTTTAACAGTGAACTAAACTAAACTGAAAATAAACGTACCAGAACAGGCCCTACAGCTTTAGTTAATTGTTGTTGTTCTTGTTTGTGCACACTCACGCATGTTAATGATATGCATGTCGGCATATGTGGTTGACTTAGACCTATAATATGTAACAATCTTCCTCGGGATAATGTTTCTTGGAGGCTAGATCTGCACCATTTAGGTACAGATTAGTGGGGATCTCCTTGTTACTTATAGAAAATGAATATTGAAAGAGTGTTTTTTTAATTTTCTCCCTCAAATAGAGGATGGGCCCCCTATTTATTTGATTTAGAAAAAAAAAATGTTACTTAGAGTTCTTAATCTCCCTGTTTTTGCAACAAAATTCAATACCTAAAAGTCCTTTCATACCTACAAATGTAAACCACTTTTTTTCTTCAATTTTTATTATGTATGCTTGTTGACCCATACATCTAAACTTCACTTTGTTAAATAAATTTACTTTTATAGGTAATGAAAGTGACCAAAAATGGTTGTTAATTACAAGTCATTAACATAAGTTGTGTGCAGCTCAGCTTCTAGTAAGATCTTTAAACACTTTCGTATTGGATGAAGTTAACCAACAAAGTGAGATTGATTGTAGTTAATTAATTCAACTCAATAATGATAATCCAATAGTGATTAGTGATGTACCCTACAGGAAACCTTTCCTATGAACATTCTTGTGTACGCAATGCAAAGAGTTATTGGCTCATCGTGTCGTGACAGCTCGAGTTAAAACTCTTACACTTCCTGTTATTCCTTATAGAATCATATAGGCAAAGTAAAGCTTTATTCTTTGCCTTTTTTGCATAAGGAAGCATAATTTAGGTTTCATTAACATGACCTAAAATATTAATGTACATGAAGCTTCTAAAGTTCTGCCTAATAATGTTGAACAGAATATTGAATTGAACTGCAAAATTATTAACCAATGTATAAATACAAATCCACATATATGATTATATGTTAGTTATGTACTTATGTGTGAATGTTTTGTGTATGGAAGTATATATATTTGTGAAATATGACTATATTAAATGAGTATGACATATACTTCTCTAACTTGTTGTCTCCTCTTAGGAATGTTAATGGTGCGAAATCTGCATTCAACAACAATGGCAACAAGTTTGTAAAGAGTTTTACTTGTCCTGTGAAATACGAGGGAGATACGTCAGATATTGATGTCGAAGCAGAGGAATTCATCAAACAGAAGCTGAAGCAGCTTATGTTCGACGGCGAATATGATGTTAAAACCAAAGGGTTTACTGACCAAGAGGATGTTGCTATTGCTAACAAGGGAGAAGATGAAGTCTATGTAGATGTCAAAGCAGAGGAATTTATCAAGAAAAAGAAATCAGAACTCAGGAAGGTCTTCATGAATGCAGGGTAAATAATTGCACATATTCAAGCTTTCATTTGTTTTATTTTTGTTGTGTGCCTGATTGAGCATATAAGATTTCCATGTTGTTGTGTGTTCCTCCTTCGAACATAATTAATAGGAAGGAAAAAAAAAATGTTAGTACTATTGATATACAAAGTATATGCATGAATATTTCGCTAATGATTAGCCTACTGTACTTTAAGGTCACAAATTCGAGTCTTTTCTAGCATTGGAAGAGAATATAGGATCTCGGAATTGAGATAGTTCTAATACATTACCCTCCAAAAGGAAAAACAAAATCTTGTATCTGTTGCAAGGATCTTATGTTGTTGTGCTTGCATTTTTATCATGAATGGCATTAATCAAATTCATGATTATATTGCTAAAAAAGCTTAATATGGTTTAGTTCTTAGTATTATTAGTTAAAACAAAGGAAGCATTTTCCTATATTGTAGACAAAATATTAGCACATGGAAAGAATTACTCCGTACATTTCATCTACCCCTTTCCATGCTCAGTCACGTACTTATCATTGCTTTATTCAGGGCATGGAAAAGGGTGAAGAACCCTTTCAACGTTTTTCACTGATAATTACATTAGCTTATGAGTAGAGTGTGTTAAGTTTAGCTTAAAATCTCAAGAACCATATAATAAAACACTTTACCTGCATGGATTCATGACTCCGAAGTCCATGCATGTGACGTCTGATTTTCGCACACCAAAATTGATTTTTACACATTGGGTTTTCCATTGTACAGATTAAATATCAACTGATATAGTGAGAAGATCACAGCACAAAAACCCTAATTACTTATAAGGTCACTTAGATGGTGCCACAGGCAGTACTCTGCTAGCTACTTTATAATAACAATAACAAAATACATTACAATATCAATATGTAATATGTAACACAACAAAAATGTCATTTTAGCACACTTTATAAGACCCAGGAAATTATATTTTCTGGATACACATTACACATTCATATAGAAGAAAGGCAGGACCAGTGGACCACAACATAAAAGTAATAAATTAGTAAGAAATACAGAGTAAAACATTTTAACCTATAGTTTTTATATTATTTTGTGTAAGGGCTCAGTCTTATAAAATAAAATAAAAGATAGAAATTGAAAATAGGTCCACTAAATAGAGATGGCACCAATGATTGATGTTGCCAAGAATAGGAAGCCTTCACATGTGTTTAGCCAATAATAACTGTCACATGATAAGAGTAGAAGAAGAATAAAGAAAGATGATAAATTAAAGTTTGTAAATTTTACCAAAAACCAAAACTGCCTAAATTTTGTGATGGACCATTTCTAGTAACATCATACTGCCCTCCACAGCATGTTGTAGATTCTGACAAAAACTTTTTTTATTCTGATAAATACAACTTTTTTATATATATATAAAATTTATTATTAAAAAAAATAAAGATTTTCTTGCTACTTCTGATATCATTTGTTGCAGACCTAAAAACCAAGCAACAACTACAACAACCTGGCCTTTTTGCATGATGAAACAACAATAAGAAGTACTACTAATTTTGTTTTGTTTGGATGCGAACTAGCTTAGTTGGTTAATTATGGTCGACATGGTAGCTCGATAGCTGCAAGGTGATACCTAGAACTTGATATTGGATTGTACAAAGCATTTATTTTACACAAATTGAAAATTAAGACAATAACTTTACAGCAAAAAATTTTGAACCCTTCATTTTTTTTTTGATATTATTGGTGCTTTAAACAAACACACAACAACACACTACAAATCTACAACAGCAAAGTTTCATCTCTTTTTTTTTCTCTACTTTGCTGGAAAACATAGGAAAATAAAAATGAAGGGTTCCAAATTAACAAAAGGAACCCTCTTCCCAAAAAAAAAAAAAAAAAAAAAAAAAAAAAAAAAAAAAAAAAGAGAGAATTAAATCAAAGAAAAAGGCTCCTCAAAAAGTCTCCCCAAAAAAAAAAAAAAAAAAAGTGTGGTCATCCTCATCCTCAACCACCCACCTAAATTATCCTCCAAATTAAAAAAAAAATTAAAATTAAAGGTTTGTTTAATTTAGTGGATGGATCTGCAAAGTGGACAAGTAGTATGATGATTATCAAACCACTTTTCCAAGCAATTTCTATGAAAGAAATGCTTGCAAGATAATTCACTCACCTCTTCTTCATCTTCAAATTTACATAAACAAACACAGCACTCTCCTTCTATCCCATTTTTCATATCTTCGTCTTGAATATTTTTATTTTTACCGCGGTAACTATTGTTATTGGTAGCACACAAATACTTGAATTGGGTAATTGAAATACCCCTTAATCGCCTCGTCTCACTTATACTACTTGTTGTTGTTATTGTCGCGGTCGATGCTGTTACCGTGGATGTTGTTGGATTCGTCTCGAAATTACTCGTAACCCAATTTACTGCCCCTACTAATTGAAGAAATGACCGCAGTAAATTCTTTAGGATTGCTACTGACATTACTGTGTTCATTACTAACACGGGTAAAACGCCTTCTGCTGGACTTGGGAAATTCGACAATCCCATTTTTTTTGTTTCCTTTTTTTTAAACTTTTTTTCCAATTTTTTCAATTTTTTTTCAATTCAATAGATTTTAGAAAGAGAAAATAAGGGTTTTTTTTTTAAGAGAGAGAAAATATTGGAGTTTTTGGAGAGGCTAAGACTACAGCAAGAGGGGATCAATTAATAAATAAGGGGGGGTTTTGTTGGTTTGATTAATTAACTAAACTAGATATGTGTGTTAGTTAACTTAACCATGGTTAAGTTTTTTTAAAAAAAATAAATAAAAAAAGAAGGGTAGAAGTACGCGGGATTATTGACACGTGGTTATACGTGTAAGGTGTTTATAAGATGAAAGTTGTGATTAAAATTAAAAATTAAAAATGAAATAAAATCAAATTGAATAAAAAATAAGGGCATGTTTGGAATTTAGTTTTAGCGGTTTGTAAATAAAAATGGAAAGTTTCACTTAGCCACGTGTCCTATTGATTCTACAACTACCAATAGGAGATTGGAATGTGGCAAGGTAGATGGAAGTAGGACCCACTTTTGTCACAACTAAGAGAGAGAAAGAAGAACTTTCTTGATTTAAGTGAAAAGTGTAAATATTAATTGAATTAAAATGCCATGATAGTAATAATAATAATCAATTTAGGTCATGTTCAAATTAATTTCAGTTCGGTTTATGTCTAATAAGTTCAGTTTAATTCAGTTTTACTTTTAATTTTCTTCTCTCGTAAAATATTTATTTCAACTCAGTTCAAATAAGTTATGTTAAGTCAATGAGAATAGACCCTTAATACACATAATAATCGTATAGCATTAGTTTAAGCATTATACGGAGTAAAATATTAGAAGGATCTTGTTAACGAACGCTCCCGGGGTGTTGGATAAAGCATTTAAAATATTATCTAAAATGGTACTAATTTGGAAAAGCATGAAAAAATTACGCATCGATCGGTGTAATTAATGTTCATTTTAATTTAATCTTTCTACTTTAGCTAACTTATCTAACGCCCTCGGGACATTTGTTAGTTTTTGTCATATTAGAAATAGGCTTCTAACAAAGGGAGGGAGGGAGGGAGTACAAGAATTTTTAGATATATATTTTTTGGTGTTTAGAGAGTCATTAGGGTGAGGATGAGAATCAATCTCATGATAACCTGAAACTAGTAAGATAACTTTAATCACAAGCTATTCATTACTAGTATTTATTAGTAGGTACTTATCATTTATTCTAAGTTCTTTATATATAATTATATATGGTGTTTCAAAAAAAAAAATGCTTTATATTTACTGGTACATATAAAGGTAAAGGGTTTTTATTTACTTCTATGATTAATTTTTTTATATTTATTTTAAAATTTTATAATAAAATAAAAATAAATAAATAAATAATAAGAAAAAATCCTTAGATGCACCTTTAACACTGTTCTTTTATTACGAATATCTTTAATTATATTCAATCGTTTGTTATAAAATTTCACATTAGAATGAATCGAATATATATCACATACAGGGTCTGTTCTTGTACGTTGAAATTCAGTTCAGCTCAACTTCTAATTTCCTTCTCTTTTAAAATATTCATTTCACTTCAATTTAGCTCAGTTTAATTTAATTTAGCTGAGTTTAGTCAATGAAAATAGACCCTAGACTATGAAAATACAAACATTCACTACATATTATATAAGTAAGACATTATAGGACGTAAGAATTATGTACAAGTATTATTTCTCCTTTTTTTTTAATGATAAATTGAAAAGCCCAAGATTTACGCCTATACTTATATACTATGCTTACGTGTGGGCCGATTGGTTGTTGTTGTAGACAACCGGGAAATTTCTATAGCATCCAACCAAGGCCCGTCTATGCTTATCATACTTCAGAGTAGATTAGTTGGGGGGTCATTTTTAATAAATTTCTAGTATTTGATTTGTTTAAATGAATTAATTTCAAAGAAAATGACCATTTTATAAGTAATTATTTTTTTGATACTTTCATCCTTTATTTGTTATAAACTTTTAATACAAAAAAAAAAAAAAAAAAAAAAGATGTAAATAAAAAAAATTGAAGGTTTATCTTCATTGTGTGGTTATAAAACATAATAGAAATCATAGGTTGGTTTGTTCAAAAAAATAAATAAAGAAATAAAAAAATAAAAATAAAGAAATCATAGATTGGTGTTAGCTAGACATAATACTTTGCTTTTTAGCTTTTAATTTGAAAAGATAATTTGGCAATTTTCAAGTAGCTTTTCATAGACTTTTTTGGTATACTATTGTTTAAAAAAAATTAAAAATAAATGGGTGGTGGTAGTGGTGGGGGTGCTATCTTTTCAATCGGCATCATTTTGATGGGTTTTTAGTGTTTAAGTCGGTTGTATTTAAGCCAACCTTTGAATTAGCTCTCTTTGTTTTGCAACTTGGCTTTCAATATGTTTCTTAGTTGTGTGCATGTGTTGATTTTTTGGGTTGATAGAATTTCTCTTGTTTACTTTTTTTTTTATGTCAATTATATTATACTGTTTATAAAAGTAAATTCTAAAATTGAGACAATTTAATCTTAATGTTGTTATTAAGTAATAAATTCATATATGAGACGGTTAGACAGACTTATAATACACAGTAGTATCATATTATGAAATTTAGTATTTTTTGCTAATTTGCAAATATGATAACTCCATAATATTTTTGTGCCACATTATTGTTTGTATGTTCCACCTCACGTAAGATCAAAATTGAACATATTGACAAAGAAAGGTAGAGACATTTATTAAACTATCACCTTTCAATTTCATAGCTCCAAAAATGGAAGAATACAGATTACAAGAGAACTTACAATATAAGCTCCCTTCATGTGATCATGTCCTTCCATTTACTTTTTACTCAACTAACCAAATCAAAACAAAACAACTTTTACCTATTTCTATATAGGAAACAAAGCTTTGAAAGCCTTACTTCATTTTATGGAGTAATTCTTTTTTGCTTATGTCTTTTTCAATTAGATAATAAAATACAAGGATCACACTTCTAAGTGAGTGTTCCTAATTGCATCACTTAGAAAGTTGTACTAATGTATAAAGTGGAGTGCAACCATATCCACAGTACATTAGCTTTTTATTTAATATTCCACGTATTAGATATACATGTGTTAGTGTGCGACTGTGTCTTTTAATTGGATCACCTATTTAAGATTTAAAACTCAGTTTAATTGAGAGCTCTTTAAATCTATTTCCCTCGCCTAAGCTACCCATGAGCTTTAAATTCAAAACCTTGAAAACAAGATTGTGTGGTTGTATAATTGTATGTTAACCACAGAGCTATATCCTTTTGCTCGTGAGGTGTTGTTTTTATTAACCAGTTTTTTGATAGGTACAATAATGACCATTCTTATTGACATATGTTGCAAGCCCCTTTTATGTTGCATCAATCAATACATGCTAGATAGCTTAGAAATCTGGAGTTTTCCCTCAATATTAGGGAATTCTAAGATATACTCCCATTACTTACCTTTGTGCTTTTTTTTTTTTTTTTTTTTTTTTTTTTTTTTTTTTTTTTTTGGGCGCGTGTGAGTGATAGATGCATATTTATTTATTTTTCTTTTTGAAGGAAAGAGTGATAGATGCATATTATATTTGAATAATTGATAAAAATTGAACTTTTAGTGCTCAAGTTATTATCTTTCACTTTGATGTGCAGTCTTTTTGCAAATAATTATCTACGTCAACTAAAAATACAAAGTGTTGGGAAAAAGTTATACTCCAGATATCCAAAAGTTCATAAAGTGCCAAGGCATTGATATTAAAAAAATAAATGTCGTCAAAAAAAAAAAATAACAATAATTTTTTATTTTTTTTATTTTTTTTTGAAAAAATACATAAAAACAAAGTAAAACCTAAAATAATGTCTTTATACAAGCTATAAAAAGTAACCCAATCCAAAAATTCGTCCCAACCAATCATGTTATCGAAAAAGTCGATTAAAATTATCTTTAAATATCTTTTAAGAGTTGGAAAAATAAATATACTTTTTAAAAAAAATTCTCGGATTTTGCTATCTATGAACTCAGTTAATCAAACTTGACAAAATTTACTTAAAGTACCACGACAGATATAATGGAAAAAAACTATTTAACCAGATCCAAAATCTTCAAATTTTTTTTTCTAAAAGTAGAACTATATCTATCTTAAATCTAAGAATGTAGATTCACCAACCCAAATCCAATAAGACAGACCAAAATCACCTAATTAACATGTCTAAATGCAATGAAAGTTGAGATTAAAGATTAAGAGCTCCTAACCCACTTTTATTCCTACAATACTCAATTTTAGGGAATTGCACTTATCTGCCTACCTAATCCATCTACCTCTCTGTCTGTCTGTCTCACAATCTCAATCTATCTAATTTTCATTCATATAATTGAATTAATTTTGCAATAAGTTTTTGAATAATATTTCATGTAAAATTTATAACTGTGCAAATATAAATTATATTTACTTTCCCTTGAAAATAATTGCTGATTGTTGTATATTTATATATACATCTGAAAAAGAACATTATCAACCACTCAAATACTAGAGCTCTATAGACAAAAAACTCCAAGGGAAAACACAATAATTGTTGCCTGATATTGCCAAAAAACCTATAATTTGGTGAACTTTATCTTATGTTCTATCACTTTTTTTGGCCTAATTTGTTTGCACAAAGAATAAATGTTTTATGGTGGTACCCTGACTTATGTGGTGTTTCCCATATTCTTCTGATGTGCCTTCTCGGCGTTGTTTAATCGACTCTCAAACATCTTCCATTCCCTTTCACATCTTTTCCGCACCTGCACGAATTAATAAGGACTTATAGTCATCAGAAACGTTACTAATTCAAAGTTTCCAGGTGACCGAATGCTGGTTCAAGCCAGCTCAAGCCAATCATGATCGGCTTGGGAAATACCGTTACAATATTGAGTGTTTTTGATGGTTACATAAGTAGAGTACATAATTGAAGATGAACAAACAGTTCACATACCCCTTGCCAAGGAGAAACCCCGTCTGATGATTCACCCTGACAAACCCAATTTGACAGTATAAATCAGTGAAATGAAAGAAAGAGACAGATAGGAGCTAAGAAAAATTCTTCTAGAAAATTATACCTGGTTACCAAGTGATGGAACGCGTTTATGAACAATCCATTGAGCATCTACAACTCCTATTTTTTCGTATGCAGGCTGTGTTTGGGTGAAAAAAAAACCAGAGAATTCAATACACCAAACTTAAGGACTTTCTGAATTCACATAAAGGATGTATTCCAAGATTCAGCCACAAACCTCTACACATTTTCGGAGGGCAAAGTCAAGGCCCCATCCATGGACCAAGTCATTCTGCAATGTTATTGAGTAACCATTGTCAAGATTCAGAACATGGAGTTAAGAAGAATAATGTCCACATACTTAACATTGTTAAGATACACCTAGTTAACAGTTATGTAGTTTATTTCAGTAATGCATACATGATTGAATCCAAATCCTGGGAGTTTCCCCTAAAAACTTCACCAACTAGAATAGTTGGCCTCTCCAATCATGAAAGTACAGCATACCTGAAGCATATGCCAAACACAACGCCATGCATCTCGAGAGAACACTGGAGCCATAATTTCTACAAATCTGTTCACATAATAAGATCAGTTAACGTCTGCAGGATTTGATAGAAAAAGAAGTTGCTCCTTAAGATTAGTAAAGAGTTCACATACGCAGCACATGGGGGTAGATGTGGGTCCTTGCACCATCCTGGTTTCTCCTCTGTGCTCCTGCAAAGTGCACCCAAGAAACAACTCAGGTCAATATTTTAGTAATTAATATCGAAATCCTGCTTCTGTTGCAAAGGAAGATAACTGAGCATAAATAATACATCATTAGTAGTTATTACTTGTGAACTTCACTGTCATGTCTTTTCCTTGTCATCTGCCATGTAAACGGACTATTAGGATCCACACCAGGCTGTGAAATTTCCAAACCATGTTTCTTAACCAAATCAACGTATCTGAAAATTCAACAAAGAATAAATGACAAAAGTTCTGTACTGAATAGCTCAAGTCATTAGAGGATATGATGCAGAAAGAGTGCTAACTTTTCAGAATCAAAATCATCCACTCCCAAATCTTCGTCCCAGATAAAGATGTAATCATATGGTGCCACAATGTCAGGATGTAGAAATCGTTTTGCATACCACCTTTAACCATACAATGAAAGAACGGATCAGTATGATACAATTGATAATTAATCTGACCCAATTGCCTTAAAACAAGAGTACTAACCATTTCGTCTGTTTTCGAGCACTGACATGGATAGCACGTTTTGACCACTCAAACTGATCCCACTCAGTCGTCTTACCATCGTAATGGAAGAGCAGAATAGTGAAGTTGTCTGAGAACTGTGCAAGGATTAAAGAGCATATAATTAATACAAAGATGATGTTAGCAGTAATAAAGGACTTGAAAGTGCTAGAAGGAAACCTTTTTAACTGCTTTGTCAATATTTTCTTTCATATCTAAGCCAACTGTGAAGATCACTAGATACTTAGGCTTGGTTTTCAGATCCTGCAGAAGCCATTTTGAACCAGTATTATACTCAAACTTCAAAATTCTATTATCAAAATGAATAAAACTCAGTCTTTGTGCTGATAATGCAATTATCAAAAAACCTTAAAAGTACATAAATAAATGTTTAAAATTACACTTCCCTTGCTTATTTTTTTTTCCTTTACATCATTACTCAGACCCCTATTAACCCGAAAAGTGTAATGTGGAAAACAGAGTAAAGACTTTTTGTCCAACAAGTATCAAGGATAGTGATTAAAAGAGGAGGTTCTACATAACAGAAGACAGTTTAAAAGTAAGGTGTATGTGAGAAGAAATTTCAGAGACTTGTTATAGTATGTTCACATACCTCACTAGGAAGACCCCATAGTCTACGGAGATAGAGATCTGACTTAGAAGCAACTATCCCTGGCGGTAGTCTCTCTGCACCGCTAGGGTTTGATTGGGCCAACAATGGCACCTGAGAATCCACAACAATCAAATAACAAATATTATTAAGTGATAAGAATCTTGGAAGACTAGTCCCATGCATCAGACCAGAAATGCCTTAAAAGAAATACATACATGATGCCTGATCTTGCAATGAGTAACAGATGTAAAATATATGTCAGCAATCAGCATGAAGAATTTTTATAAAATGATTAAAGTGGCAACTCACAAGGGCTACAACTACATATACAAAGTATGTTGATTGAAAAGTTTCAACAATATAACTGTTTGCTTGTGGTAAAGTTGGGTTCAGAGTTACAGAATCATGCAGAAATACAGCAGTTTTATATGAATGAAGTTGCCTAACATATTTTACCAACAGGATAATATTACATGAAAAGACTGCAGTGTAACAGAAAAAGAAAAAGACTGGTGTGCATGTACAATAGCAAATTATGATTACCGGAGAAACAAAGAAGTTGAAGGAGATGATAAGCCCCCCCCCCCCCCCCCCCCCCCCCCCCCCCACAAATGAAAGCAAGCAGGGAAAATGGCATTGTTTACCAGACATAAAACTTGAAGTCATTAAACAACTAAAACATGGGTTGAAGGGAAAAGCTGCCTTTTAAGAAGGGATCCTTCACCTACAGGCCCAAAACCCAACCAAAATCGTCAATCACAAAAAAAACAGAAAAGAACTACAAGCTATCAAACATCCTTATTCTCATCTCAGACTTTCTTAGGCATAACATGTGTGATTCAAAACTTCACATTAAATTTTATGCGATGAATAATATGCTCCGGAGTAGAAACTTTAAGCTCACAGTAGGATTGAATACAGTTTTGAAAGATGCAATGATAACCGGCATATATACCTTCGCTGTGTCATTTAACACTTGAATTTGTTTAACAACCTCGTTTACTTGTTGGTTGGTAGAGGGCTGAATCACCGCAGGAAGGCAGTTCATTGGATTAGTCTGCGTTTTTCACACGGATTGCAATAAATATATATTGAAATCAAGCCCGTATTATAAAATATAAGTTGAGAAATTAAAAAATATTAACAGAACTGCAAACCTTAGAAACTGAAAGAAGTGAAATATAAACACCAACTATAAAACCAATAACAATTCCAATGAAAGTTGTCCAAACAAGCCGCAAAGATTCATTCGATTTTCTGCTCACCATTCTGCATCCAACAAGGTTTAAAAGTAAACAACAAAATTTTTTGACAATTTGGGGTTTTCTACCAAGGTCTCCCATCTACTATACTTATCTAACAAGACTACAAGCCTATAATAAAACTATTAACTTGAGCAAAAACGAACAAGGCTTCTAATAATAATCTAATCACAACTCAAAGATGAAACTTCAGTGATTTATTACAATAAAGGAAACATAAGGTCAAAGATTGAAATCACAGAGAGACAAAAGGAAGCAATAGAAAGATTGATTCTGCTAATAACATAGGATTTGCAAACAACTCAAAAAAGCAAAAAAAAGGAAAAGACAAAACATACAGATTGAAGTATGCACAAAGAGCTCAAAGCAAAAGTGCTATATGTAATTTATTTTTTTTAAAAAGCATATGAAAGTACATAACAATTATAAGCATCAAAGCATTCTACCTTGGCAGCCAAAAATCGCGGCCACTATTTGACATGCGAACAACAATTGAAGTACTAATATTTCGAGAGTAATCTCAAAACTATTAGCCTAAAAAATATCTTCTATCCTTCAAAAACTCCACTACAATGTAGCCAAATTAGAGCCAATACAAAGAAATGGACCGAGAAATATTGCACATATGTGAAACATATAATAGAAATGACCGAGAAATATGGCACAAATGCGCAGCATATGATGCAAAGGACCAAAAATTCTAACACAAAAGCTCAGCATATGAATCCAAGGACCAAGATTGATTAGTATTTATATAAGCATGTGCTTTTAAATTCTAATTTCAGCTAACTAAGCAACTCTATAAACAAGCAATCGTGTGATCACCAATCTCAGATTTAACCAAGTAACGCAGAAATTAAGTTAACAAGTACCCTTTTGACCAACACACCCTATTGCAATTAAAATTAATCAAAATCATGAAAATTTTCCCAAATTTCAAAAAAATTCATACTAAACAATTAAACATACCAAAAAATAAAATAAAAATTATCAAAATAGAATTCAGAAAAACGTCTAAAATAAGTTACCCAGCAATCAACCTTCTCTTCATTTGTACTGTACTTAATTTTTCACTAATAAATGCAAATTTGTACCCAGACAACCTAGAAAATAGATTCTGGAAAACAGAAAAATATGGGAAATTGCGTAATCATATAAAATAAAGTTCTAAACTGTAACATCAACTGTATATAAGCAAAGATGAAACCTTTAAATTACAAAAAGCACATAATAACAGACAATAATCATGAAAAACGCACCTTATAAAATTTGAATATGCTAACTGAAATTCCATTTTGATTTTTTCCCAGGAAAATGCGGGTGATTAATTAAATGGGTAGTGATAAAATCACGAGAAAAAACACCCACTTTAAGAAAAAAATTGCATTACCCAGAAAAATAAACACGATTTAGCACCCTTCTCATCAGAAATCACCTGATGAGAAAGGGCTTTTTTAAAGGGAGCTCTCACAATTTCAATGTGTTTTTGGGTGTTTCTTTTGATTTTTAATTGGAATTTTTTGTGTTTTTAATTAGAATCTGATGATATGAAGCAACAATTTCGTGGAAAATCTGTGTGTTTTTTTGGAGGAGAAAGGACAGAGAAAGAAAAGGGTGAATTTGTTTGTTGGGTTTTTGAATTTACGAGTAATTTCTTGTGTTTCGACAATTCTCAATTTCTCATTGTAAACTTGGAATTCATATGTGACACGGCGCGCAATTTTATGATAAAGTATTTATTTAGTTATGCGCATGGGCCCATGGAATGGCATATAGTTATGGATGTCAATTCGGATAATCGGATCGGGTCTGATATGGGTCGGGTTGGGTTGGGTCAATTTTAGAAGTTAAGTCATACTAAATTGTTATGTTTACGCGAGTCCAAATCTAAATCGGATATTTTTCGGATCGGATCGGGTCTGATATACTTTTTACGCCTTTACATATAGTCATGCCATAAGCATTTTAGTTTAGCAAACACTAACTCATGAATCATGTTCGAAAAAACTAAAAGCATGTTTTAGTGAGGATTCAACCTATGTTGAACTCGGTGTTTGTGGATATCAACTAACTTTATTAATGGGTAAAAGTTAGAGACATGTTAATATAGAATTTAAGATTTGAGATTTAATCTAGATTGTATTATTCATATTCTTTTTGTCGTTTCTATACATTAAATTTTTTTTTTACTATAATTAATTACTGCCTCCGTGACTCCGTCCCACAATACATGAGACGTTAGACTTTTTTTTCACTATTTATGCATTAGATTTGACCATAATTTTTTTTACTAATATAATAAAAATATTCCATATATTTTATCACAAATATGTTGTTTTTTTTAAACGCACAAACATGTTGTTAGATAGGTTTTAATATAAAGTTTCATAATATATAATTTTTAAAATAATTTTCATTATTATTTAATTACATAAAAATAAAGTCAGACTAGTGTATTGACATGCGTGTAATGTTTGACTGTGTCTATGTATTATGAGACATAGAGAGTAGTTCTTTGATGTAGTAGGCGGGTAGGCCTAGTAGCTGTAATATCAATACTATATACTAAAAGACACACCAGCGATGACACATGTCATCTCCTGGTGTGTCCTTAACTATTTTTTTAAAAAAAAAAATTAAAAAAATTAATTAATTAAGGAAACAAATCATTTAAAATAAAAAGATTTCACAACTCTTTCTAAAAAAAAATTAGGCAATTATAAACAAAAAATTATACTCTTAAAATAATTTGTGACCTATTTTAAAATAAGAAAAAGATTTTTTTTTTGTCTACTTTTTTTAGTGGTATATTAGATGTTTCAATTAAAAAATGCAAATATCAAATCAACCTATCACATAATTTGTTATTCATCGACTAATTTATAATAATACTTATTAACCAATAATCTATAAGTATAAATATAAATATTGATCATCGTGCATGGCACGGGATCTAACCTAGTTGATTGACTAAACAAGGGCTACCATAGCATCAAATTAAAGGGGTTTAACTAAATATAAGAAATATTTTATTAGTTAAGAATTTTAAATAAGTTGAAAAATGAGAGGTTTAACTTTTTAAGTTTAACAAAAACTTCATGAGAGATGAAATGTTTATAGGAACTCATATACGGAGTAATGATTTGTACATGTAGAATTGTGTACTCCTAGAAGCAATTCATCACTCCATACTTAATTTCATCTCATTAAAGCTTATAATTTGTGGGATTCAAATTCATATAATTAGCTAAGCTGCTTAAAAATTAAATCAACAATGATTACTATTTTATAATTACTTTAGTACATATAATTAAAGGCGGAAAAATGAGTAGACTTGAGTCGATCTTAAATCTTGAAATAGCATCAAATACTAATTAAACGGAAGACACTTTGTCTTCTTTTATTTGATGTAAATGATTTTCCTCAATGATCTTGATCTTTGTAACATGTTAAAACTTGCCTAATTGAAGATTAATTAGTACACAAAATACATAAATACCGTCTAGAAAAAAGTGCATATAAATACACACATCTTAATTAATCTATATGGACACGTATACTACATTTCCTAAAATTTAGGGCAGTACATTTTCTTATACGCAAGTTACATGACTTATGCTTGCATCCATTAGAGTTGCAAGCAAGCAGCTACAAAAATCAACAACATTTTAGGAGTATTACAAGCAAATATTTAAGCATAAATTTTGATTAAGTTGCTAATAAAGAAAGAAAGTTGCGGTATATTTCCATGAATAAAATCAAACTCTCGCAAGATATTATAGATAAATTATTTCCTCCGTCTCACAATATCTAGGATGTTGGACCTTTTTCACTATTAATGTATCAGCTTTGACTATAATTTTTTACTAGCATAATAAAACATATTTTATATATTATAAAATATGTTGTTAGATAAATATTAATATAAAGTTTTATAATGTAATTTTAAAATATTTTTTTATTAATATTTAATTATATAAAATAAAGTTAAACTAATGTATTGACGTGTGTGTTATGTTGACTGTCTCAGATATTTTGGGACAGAAGGAGTAGTTTCTAGTTAATTTGTTCTACAATAGTTGTATCCTTTTGATTGTGTATGTTTTTCAATTTACATCTTTAACCTTCGATATCTTTGATTATAACTAATTAATATATTAAATAACTCGATCGTTTTATTAATATATATTGATATTTTACACTACTTAAAATAATGATATTTACATATCTAGAGTAATGTTTATACAAACAATAGTAAATAAATGTTAAAGGTGTATTATAAAATGGAGGTATTATAACAATTTAAAGTGGATAAACAATAATCATACCAAAGATCAGCAAGAAAGTAATTTATTTACCCACCTCTGATAGAAATTAGTGGTAATAGCACCTAAACATTTGTTCAATGGTCTATTTGTGGTGATAATGTAACAATATCTAATCACCATGAATGGTCCAAAACCTTGGACAAATTTTTTGAAAAGTATTGAATTTGAGACGATTTTTTGTTTAATTTCAACTTTTCTTTCATGATAATGGCAATTGTTAAAAAATTAGAACCCAAAGTTGAAAAGTTGAATTATGACAATACCAAGTAAAACGACATTGTTTGAACTAGTTGGAAATCCTTGGAATTGACCGAATTAAAGCTACGGATCTGCCTAATTTTGCGAAATGTACACTATGTATCATAAATTTCATCGAGTTGTAAGTTGAAGTGTTGAACTTTGACATTGAATATGTCAAGATCTCAAGAAGTGCTATTTTATAAAAGTACATTTGCCAAGTCTGGCTAGCATATCTTTTGAGGTCTAGACACGGGATCAAATAACCCTATAAGAAAAAGATAGGGGAATATCAATAGAAACAAGAAAAGAACGTTGCAACTTGTAAACTTTTATAACTTGTTGGCCGATTTTGAATAGGTTGCGTCATAAAATTTTGTTCAAGAGTCGTATTTTCCTGGTATCATGCATTCATGCATGCTAGTAGCCTGGTACACATTATTGCACCACCTCTTTAAAAATTAAAAAGAAAATTTGTAACTCTAAGCGCTCAAATACGTAACTTTGGAAGCAAACTCTATGTTGCTTCTTTAAGTAAAGATTTCCTGTTTAATTACTCGTACTTGTGTTGGTTGCTTCGATCCCTAAGTTAGTAAGTTATTATCAAGTCTTGTAGAGTTTTCATTATTCTTTTGTTGTGCCTTCTCAGCTTCAATAAGTCGAGCCACAAACATCCTCCATTCTTCTATACATCTCTTCCGAACCTGCAACCACAATAAATTAAAGATTTACTCTTATTGTAGTCTATATAAAAATTACTTGTAAAAGTATTATGATTGTGACATAATAATATTACAAGTAGTACATCATTTAATTTTATTTGCTTGATTTATAGTCCCTTAACACGTAGTTTGATAAGGTGATTAGATATGGAAGATAAACATATGTTGGATAAAAATAATAGAAATACATAATAGTGATACCATGAATCACTATTCGTCCTTCTTATTGGTATTTATATCTTTATTTTTCATTAAACAAATCTTCATAATCCCTATTATAAAATTTATAAATTGACTTTCATGGCTCGAGTTATTATAAACGATTAAAAAAATGGAGAATGTATATAAGTGTATATAGAGTTGAAATGAATTATTCACATACCCCGGTCCTTGGAGAATCTCCTCCCGATGATTCACCCTAACATAAACCATATTCATTACATAAGTATTTTGCACAACAAAATAAACAATATAGAGTAAATGATTCCCCTTTATGGGTTTCTTATTTTTTATATTTTGATTTTTTCTTATAATTTTAAATTATGTGAGATCTTATTAGATTCAGATTAAAACGGTAAGAAATCTCAGGCACAATAATAATATAGAGTATATTGAAATGTTAAAAAAGAGAGACAAAATTTTTTAGAGGGAGCCAAATATAACATGCGTAGACCAATCTTAGAGCAAAGAAACTGATGTTGATCAGTGCCAAGAGGTTTGGTCATAATATCTGCAAGTTGTAAAGCAGATTTAACATGAACAGTCTTGATGAAACCAGACTGTACACATTCTCTAATGAAATGAACATGCAATTTATGATGCTTACTCCTCATGTGCTTTGTTTTCTCATGGAAAACTAGATTATCTGCAAGATGTAGTGCAGACTTATTATTACAAAACATAGGAATAGGAGTAGGAAGTTGTACTCCTAAATCATCAAGCAAACCATCTAACCAAAGAACTTCATTAGCAGCATTATTCATGCTCCTATATTCTGCTTCTGTAGAGCTCTTTGAAACCACTTTTTGTTTCTTTGTCTTCCATGAAATCAAAGATTTGCCTAAGAAAACACAATATCCTGATAAAGATTTACCATAATCAACACAATTACCCCAATCAGCATCACGATAAGCCCTTAACACAAGATCATTCTCAGCAGGATAAAATAAGCCCACGTTTAAAGTTCCTGTCAAATACTTCAGGACATGATTAACAGCTTGCAAATGAGGTTGTCTAGGCAGATGGAGAAATTGACTAAGTTGCTGAACAACATAGCTTATATCAGGTCTGGTAAGATTGAGATACAAAAGTTTCCCAATAATCTTCCTGTAAACTTCAGGTTCTGGTAAAACTTCACCTTCATAATTTCTAAGTTTAAGTCCCTTTGGCAGAGGAAAACCAGCAACAGAACATGATTCCATATGAGCATCCCTTAGCATATCAAGTATATACTTCCTTTG